AAAAAAAAAAAAAGGAGCGCCGACTCTTGTGGGTATGTCCAGGAATGTGTCCAAAGTCCTAGAACCAGAAGGGGCAGAACCAGGGCTCCAGGGCCTCCTCCCTAACTTGCAGCCCAAATATTCTAGGCAAACAAAGCACCGCCACTGCCACTATCCTGTGACTTCAGCTACACCCGTTCCCACTCCTAGGCAGAAGAAAGCTTCCACCCACCTCCTCTGGCTGAGCTGTCACCACCTTGAAAACGCCCCTAGGAGAACTTCAGGCCAAGATGCAGAGGTAAAATGACCTCACCAGTGACCCCGCGTCATCTCCCCACTATCCCGAACCTTCATCGTGTCTGCGTCCCCCAGTCCTCCACCAAGGTGCAGGTCCAGCCCGTGCCCTGGGCTTACTCATAGTTGAGGTGTCCTCTCTGAGATCTTGTGGGGCTGTGTGCAGGGGTGCCAGCTGTGCCCAGGGGTGCAGGGGGTACAAGAATAGGTCCAGCCAAGGGGGGCAGGCCAGCAGGGAGGGCCTGGCTGGTTCCCATGTCAAGGGGCAGGGCCAGCTGGTACAGGCCGAGCCATGAGCATCCCTTGTGTCTGGAAGTGGCCCGTGGGCTGAGGAGACCTAGAGAGCAGAGGGCAAGGGGCTTAGGGGCCGGGCCTGGGACTCCTGGGCCTCTTGGATTGTCCCACCCCTAGTTTAGTTTCCAAAGGGGAGAAATTATGATGTGTAAGTCCTTTCCCCCCGTATCTGCCACTCAAATATTTCTTCATCCAAAGATCTCTTTCCCAAGGACTCTCTCACACACTACAGGTTGCCCTCCGTCCCCCTCGAACCTGTCCTCTTCTCCCTCCCCACCCCAACCCCGCCTGGTCCCTGACCAGCCCTGTCCCTGGAGTACCTCAGACCATCCAGTGTTGTTCTGAATGCAACCAAGGTGATTTGGGGGGAAATCCTCACCCAAGACTGAAAACTCCCCAAAATGGCCCTGTGTCCCCTCGCACTGAAGCCCAAGGGCCATGGCCATCCAGCCAGGCCTTCTGCGTGGCCTTTCCCCTTCTTATGGCCCACAAGAGGGTCCGGGCCGCTGAAGCATGGGGCCAGGGTCTCTGGCACCTCAAGGACTTATTGCCATGATTGCCAGACAAGGGGTGCCTAGGGCACCAGAGAGGTGCTGTTCTAGCCCATTCCCCAACTCCCTGCTAACCTCTCCTCCTACCATGAGGGTGAGGCTGGGACCCCATCCTACCTGGTCACCTTGGCGGAGCTGGTCCAGGCGGGGGGCCGAGGAGCCCCCCGAGTCGCCCAGTGCCTTGGTCTTGTGGCAACAGTCCAGTTGTGCAGCTGGTTTTCCCTGCATGCCCCCACTACCTGCTGGGAAGACAGGTGTCAAGGTTGAGGCGTGAAGTTCTCCAGTTATAAGCCTGGCTTCTAGGAAGGGTTCTCCCACAAAACTTCCTCCTTGCTTCAGTTTACCTATCTGCAAAACAGAGGTTTGAACTGGTTGATATGTAAGGACTCCTGTAGTTCTGACATTTAGAAGTCAGTGTTGGGCCGGGGATATAGCTCAGCGGCACAAGCACCTGCCTGGCAAGTGCAAGGTCCTGAGTTTGATTCCAGGTACCAAAAAAAAAAAAAATAGAAGTCAGTGTTGTTCTAGTAGGCGTAGAAAAGGGATCCAATGAAAATTAATCAAGGAAGCTGGAAGTGGTGGTACACACCTGTAATCCCAGCACTCGGGAGGCTGAGGCAGGAGGATTACTGCGAGTTCAGGACCAGCCTGGGCTACAAAGTGAGCTCAATGCCAGCCTGAACTGCATAATGAGACCCTGTCTCAAAAAGGCAAAAAAAAAAAAAAAAGAAAGAAAGAAAATTAATCAGGGAGAGATGAGGAGCAGAGGTGGCCTGAAAGGTGCGAGGAAGGACTTTCCCGTCACCTCTCACACCTGCTGAGGTGTCACCCACAGGCCACTGCTGCCCGCCTGCCCACCTCCTTCCTGTCCCCGCCACAAGCACTGCTGCAGAGCCAGCTGGAGGTCCCTCAGGGCCACAGAGAATTGAGGAGCCACCCCTTCCACGTGGAGAGAGGGCCATGTCTCCACCAACCAGCAACTCTGCCCCATCCAAGCTCGTCCAGACAGCTTTCCAGGGCACTGAGGCAACGTCCTTGTCCTGTCACCCCGACTGCCCCAGGCTGCGCTGCCTGCCCAGAGGGGAAGCCTGAGTGAGCCGCGAGTCCCAGGGTCCCCTGGCCCCGAGGCGGACACCCTGGATGCTCAGCAGTCCGCTCAGTCAGCACCTGGCTTCTTCGGCATCTTTTCTTTTTTGGCATCTTTCATTTGAAGCCACACAGCCCAGGGACCACCTCAGCTCAACACATGCTGGACGCGCCCTCCATGTGACACCCTCCCCTCCCTTCACCCCGAACGCCCCCCATCCTAGAGCCCTCACTCCAGTGTCTCAGCCCTCCCAGGCCCTCTTCCTGTCCCTTTGCTGATTCTTCCCCAGGCCTGCCTCGGCTCTCGAGTACCGAGAGCGCATGGGTGACCGCGTGTCTCAGCAGCTGGCTCTGCGGCGGTCCTGTCGGCTGAGGAAGGGAGGAGGCGGCAGGACAGCAGCTGCCTGTGACGGAGGCCCCCGTGGGTGTGGCAGATGACAGGAAGGTGCTGCGTTTCAAGCTGCTTCGAATAGGAAGAGGGGGGCAGTCGGGCCTGGGGGCTGGGTGAGACCTGACAGGGGACCCTCCACCCATCTTTATGCCGCTGTGGCTGCTCTACAGAATGACTTGCTGGGGTTAGACGGCGGTGAACTGAGCTGTGCACCCCAGTGCGTGCGTGCATGCGTGCGTGCGTGCGTGCGCGGCAGGGTGGTAGGGTGTTATCTATCTCTGTTCTCGGAGAAATCCAGATAGAGGGCCAGAGCTATAGCTCAGCAGTACAAGCGCCTGTCTGGCAAGCGCAAGGTCCTGAGTTCGATTCCTGGTATAAAAAAAAAAAAACAATCCAGATAAAGAGCTGAGGCCCCGACAGGGCAAGAGAGAATTCAAGGACAAAGCAAGCTGGGTACACAGCAGGATGGAAACTGGGAGGTTGAGCCGCTGCATTATTCTATGGGAGGGAGAAGGGGCACCAGCCCTCAGGCCTGGCCCAGGGAGACCCAGTCCTCACTCAATGGGTCCAAGCCTGGTCCAAAGTGACATCATCCCAGTCAGTCATCCAGAACTCCATCCCAGCTGTGCCACCAAGGAACACACAGGGACATCTCAGACTATCTGCTGTGGTCCAGGGACATGTGACACTGTTTCTCCACCAGTACAGCCTGGGGCTGGCACTCCTCCTCACCACAGCTTCCGTCCCTTCCTCTCATGACCCTTTGCCGTGCTCCCTCCATGGTGCCTACATGTCTATCTGCTCATTTGTTTCCCATGTAGACATTTACCAGGTGCTTTGGATGCCCGGCATCTGGACACGGCCCCGACCTGCACTGAGGTCAGCAGAAGGCGTGTCCCACCAAAAGCCAGATGGCCAGATGTTTAATTCTAACCTCCCTCACGCAGCACGAGAAACGCACACGAGGACCAGGCCACTCATGCGCTCCACCCATACTATGAATCTGAAGCCTGTGGCCCGAGAGGCAGGTAGTGGAGCCTCCACTCTGGGTCAGGGCAGTACCCAGGGGCTTCCAGAGCAGAGGAGAGAAGAGCGGAGCTCACAGGGGGGCTGCCAAGTCCTTGCTGTGCCGGTCCTGGGGCAGAATTTTGCCTGTGGTCCTCGCTGCTGCACGCCTCCCTGGATCCAGTCTATTCTCCAAGCCTGGCTCTGCAACCCCCTCCCAGGCTCTCTGTCAGCTTCCCCAGCATCTTCTCAACTTCCTTGGCTCCAAAATTCTCTTGAAATGGAGCCCATAGCTCACAACTTACAACCAAGAACCCCACAGTATTCAAAAGCCCAGAATAGGTGATGAAGCAACAGGGTTCGGGAATAGACGAGGGTGAGTGTAAATAGTTACCGGAGAAGCTGCTTGCTTAGTGTGCGTCTGGAACTGTGCTAGGGACCTCACAGGCTTTACCTCACTTCATCGTCACAATAAGCCTGTGTGGTTGGTTTATTATTCCCGCAATCAACAGGAGCTCGGAGAGAGCGAGCCACTCACGCAGAGCCACACAGCAAGCAGCCCAGAGGTCGCCAGTGCCAAACCTGACTCCACCACCCCTTGGCAATGGCAGCTCCCCTTGTTACCACACCTACACCCTCCTGTCTGCTTCTCACATTCTCCCTTCTGACGCGCCATTACTAGTACCCAGACAACCCCCTCGGCCGACCCCACCCCTCATTCCAGGGGCCCCCTCGTATCACTCTGATTCATGGAGGAGCTCTTCCCGTGGCCCCTTTGCAGTCTGGGTTCACCACAACTCTGCTCCACAAAGCTAGCGCCCTCCCAGCCTCCCAGCATGCCTTGCTGGGGCTCGTGGGGAGCGAGGGTCACTGGTACCCGCACCTCCAGGAGAGCCACACACCTTCGGTTTCCATCTGCCAAGGTCACCTCTTCCTGGGCTCACGGCCTCCAACTCTCAGAGAAGTTAGTATAACATTTGTGTAGAAAACAAAAAGAGAAATAGTTTCAAGGACTTCGAGGTCCCCAATCCTGAAAGTCCCCTGTGTGGCTAGGAAATGCCCTAGGAGGTGGGCTGAGGACACAGTCCTCAAGTTCCTGCTCCAAACAGCCTCTGTGAGGCTAGCCTTTCCTGTTCCGATGTTCCAGATCCCGGCCTGCTGGCTTCCATGGCCTGTGATGTCACATGCCTAACTATGATGCCACAAGCCTGTGATGACCCGTGGCCTTCTAACCAGGTAGCCTGGGCGGTCGCCTTAATCTAGAAGATACCCAGGCCAGGAACATCCTCAGAGACCAGAGTGGGACCTAAAGGGAAACTGCGTTGAGTTGCTGCGGGACAAACGGGGGACATCTCAAGAGGAGGCACCTCTGGAGCAGAGGCCAAGGCTGAGGCATCCGGGTCCTCAGGCTCCTGGTACTCCTGCCCACTTCCTTCCTCCCTTCCTTCCTCCCTTCCTTCCTTCCTTCCTTCTGTGAATTACAGAATGGTACACAATACTGGTAAAGTTTTCATACAACAGAAAATCTGAAAGCAAGAAATTTATGCTCCCCTTTCCCCCTCGGCCAGCGGTCATTGTGAACTATTCAGTGTTTATACCCTTCTACACAGTTCTGCTATGATCAGCTAGCAGGTAAATGGATTTTTAGAAAGTTTTGTTTTTATATAAACATGGGACTATACACAGGTATTGTTCTGCTGCTTTTCCCATCAAGCAAGGCACTGTGGCCATCATGTCATGGTATGCACACACTTAACCCACCTCCTGCTTTTTCCTGCACATATAGTGTTTCATTGTGGGGATATGTGTGTGTTATGTGGCATTCCCTTACTGGTGGACACAGAGGTGGATGCCAGTTTTTCCCTTTCCCACAAAAGCCTGGGAAGGACCTCCCTACAAAGTTCAGAATGTTTAAATCCCTGCAGAATGTTTAAAAATACTAACATTAGGGCCGGGTGTGGTGGCGCACACCTGTAATCCCAGCACTTGGGAGGCTGAGGCAGCAGGATCTCCACGAGTTTGAAGCCATCTGGGCTCCATAGTGAGTTCAAGACCAGCCTACACTACAAAGCAAGACCCTGTCTCAAAACAAAACAAAACAAAACATTAACCTTGCCAGGCATGTTAGCACACACCTGTAACCCCAGTACTCTGAAGGCCGAGGCAGGAGATTTGCCATGAGTTCAAGCCAGCCTGAACTATATAGCAAGACTTTGTCTCAAAAAAAAAAAAAAATTAACTTTATGCCTATAATCCCAGCTACTTGGGAGGCTGAGGTGGGAGGATTCCAAATTCAAGGTCAGCCTAGGCAATCTGTGAGACCTTGTCTCAAAATACAAAGGGCAAGAGGGTCCCCCAGTGGTAGCGTATCCCTGGGTTCCATCTCCAGTGCTGCCAAGTTTGAGCCCAGTCAGAGCAATTTAGCAACTTAGTAAAAGCCTGTCCCAAAATGATGATGATGGTGATGACGATGGCTAGGGACGCAGCTCAGTGAGAAAGCCCTGGGTTCACCCACCATCAATCCCAGCTCATTTAATTTTAAAAAATATTTTAAAGGGGGACATAGTGGAGCACGCCTGTAAACCCAGCACTCAGGAGACTGAGGCAGGAGGATCGCATTGAGTTTGAGGCCAGCCTACATAATAAGTTCAAGGCCAGTTTGAACTGCATAGAGAGACCCTATCTCAAAAACAAACAAATAAAAAAAATTTAAATGTATCCCACTCTTTTACCGTATACAGAACTATCTCAAAAATAGGCCTAAAAGCTGGACATGAGGGACCACTGTTCTCCAGCAAAGCAGTGTCGGCGTCATCCCAGTCTCCACACCATCATAATAACAGCTCAAAGTATTAGCACCCTCTCTGGGGGGCTATAAGCAACCAGGCAAAGCACTTTTGCAAAAGGGTCTCACCATGTAGTTTAGGCTGGCCTTGAATTTGCGTTTGGCCATCCTCCTTTGACATGCTTGCTTTCTTGCACGGTGACCCTGCAAGATGGATGGCAATATTCCTATTTTACTGGTGAGGCAACCAGTATCCCTATTTTACTGGTGATGGCAATATTCCTATTTTACTGGTGAGGCTTCTCTGAGTAGTCAGAGAAGCACTTATTGATTGACAGCTATATTATCAGGCATCGGAGAAATTTCTGGAACATGAACCAGACCTTGCAATTCATAGTCCAGCAGTCAGAAGGCTTCCTGGGCGTTGCTGAAGTGGAGAATGGTGCAAACACGCTCGTTACTACCAGGGGTGGGGCTGGGGGCAAAGCCAGGCATGGGGTCAGGCTGATTTCTGCAGTAAGAGGCAATAGAACCACAGTCGAAGCCTTGCTCCCTCTCTGAAAACCTCAAAACTTCATCCCATAACCACAACCTCCTCCGGCCTTGAGGCCAGCCAGCTGCGTGCGTGGCCAGGTCAATGCACAGATCCAGGAGCCCTGTTGCCAGACACCGGAGAAAGGGCAGCCGGCAAGGACTCCAGGTTGGGAGGCATCTGGACCAGCCTGGCTCCTGGGGACGCCCTGGGTGGGGTGCACTCCCCAGGCTCAGGGCGGGGCCCAGCTCTCCGCTCTGCTCCTCCGTGGTTGACACCTCCCGCCCACCGCCTGACACCCTGTTGCTTATCTCCCCCAGCAGCCCAGCTATCAGTCTGTCAGATGCTTTGAGTGGGCTCTGGCTTCACACCCCAGAGCAGAAAGAAAGGGAGAGAGATTTTCAGATAAGGCCACAGGGCAGCCAGCTCTCACCTTTGCAGAAGGGCCTGGGGACGCTCACATCCTCCCCTGCACCCACCATGACCCTCCAGTCTTCTGTGGGCAAAACTCCAGATATGTCTTCAAGTGACATCTGAGGTCATCCTACCTACTGACAGGAGGAGGGTCACACTGCCGGGATGCACATCCAGAAGGGCCAATATATCAGCTAAGTAACACTGCCCGCTGTGTGCACTGATGTCCTTTACCGACGGGCAGGGATTGGAAGACCCGCTGCACACCCATTGTTGGAGAAATGCTACATGTTATGTACATGTGACTGTGTACCAGAATACTCTGCAGCCAGGAAAAAGCAGGAGGTAAATTCTTTGATGCCTCCTGTATAACAGACTTCAAAATCTGCCAAGGTAAAAATTATTAATTTCCCATCGCATAGGTGAGAAAACAAAGATTCAGTCAGGGTAAACCAGGTAACCTCAACTCAAATGTTTATAGTGACCATACAGTTAACGTAAAGGGACCCAAGAATAAATGGGATACAAATGCGACCTGATTTTTAGTGTTGGTGTCAAGGATACAACAGGGAGGGACTGGACTGAGGGATACAACGGGACTGAGGCAAACCAGAGGGCACAGGCCGTTCTTAAAGAACAGCCCCTGTTCAGCAATTTAAGAGCTAGTGTTGTCAGAGGTTCTGACTGGGAGGCTGAGGCAGGAGGAGCTTGAGTTTGAGGCTAGTCTGCAAACTCTGCCTTAAAACACCAAAAAAAAAGAAAGAAAGAAAAGAAAAGAAAAAGAAAGGAAGAAAGAAAGAAAAAGGCAAAATTAATTTAATACATACCTATAATCCCAGCCCTTGGGAGGCTGAGGTAGGAAGATTGCTGTGAGTTTGAGGCCAGCGTGGGCTACATAGCTCAAGATCTATGAACTACATAGCAAGACCCTATCTCAAAAAAAAAAAAAAAAAAAAAGCTGAGGATATAGCTCAGCCGCACAAGCACCTGCCTGGTAAGCACAAGGTCCTGAGTTCGATTTCCGATACCAAAAAAAAAAAAAGGTCTGAGGATGTAATTCAATGGCAGAATGTTTGATTAGCATATATCAGGTTCAATTCCCAGGACCACCCAGAAAAAGTAAAATAATTTCTGCACACAGAGGGCATGATCTTACACATATAAAATCCTAGCCCAGCATGGTACCACATGCCTGTAATCCCAGTACTCAGTACTCTGGGAGCCTGAGGCAGGAGGATTCCAAATTTGAGCCCATCCTACCAACTTAGCAAGACACCGTCTCAAAATTTTATTTTATTTTATTTTATTTATTTATTTGTGTTTTTGAGACAGGGTCTCACTATGCAGTTCAGGCTGGTCTTGAGCTCATTTTGTGGCCCAGGCTGGTCTCGAACTCACAATGATCCTCCTGCCTCAGCCGCCCGAGTGCTGGGATTACAGGCGTGCGCCACCACGCCCAGCTGTCTAAAAATTTTAAAAAATAAAAATTTTAAAGCTGGCCATAGTGGAGCACACCTGTAATTTCAGCACTCGGGAGACTGAGGCAGGAGGATTGCCTTGAGTTTGAGGCCAACCTGGGCTACATAATAAGTTCAAAGCCAGTTTGAACCTTGTCTCAAAAACAAAAACAAAAAATTTTGAATGTACCTCATTCTTTTGTCATCAGAACTATCTCAAAAATAGACCTAAAAGTTGGACGTGATGGCGTATGTCTATGTTCTCATCACTCTGAGAAGTTGCAGTGGGAAGACTGCAAGTTTGAGCCCAGCCGGGCACCTTAGCACGTCCCTCCCTCAAAATACAAAGCGCTAGAGATGTAGCTCAGCACAAAGGCGCAGGGTTCAACCTCCAGTGGTGGGAAAAAAAATCTCAACATAAGAGCTAAAACCATAAAACTCTTGGAAGAAAACCTAGAAGCAAGTATTTGTGACCTTGGATTAGTCAAAGTGTTATCTATGACATCAAAAGCATAAGCAACAAAAGATAAAATAGGTGCATTTGATTTCAACAAAATTTGAAGATGTTTGTGTGTCAAAGAATTCCATCATAGAAAGAAAGAAATGTAAATAAAAAGGAGGAAAATAATAAATATTGGCAAGGGGACAGAGAAACTGTTGATGGGGAAAACACAGTGGATTGGCAGTAACTCGAAGAGTTAAAGAGTTATGCAGTATAGACTCTGGATAACTGGAAATGGGTACTCAAATGCAAACATGCGCACACACGTTCACAGCAACATTGGTGACACTGACCAAAGACAAAAACAGCCCATATGTCCATCAACGGGTGGATAAACACATTGCAGCATATGTATATAATGGAATATTATTCATTCATAGAAGTACTGGCACATCTGCAACATGGATGAACCTCCAAAACATTATATTCAGTGAAAGAAACTGGACACAAAGGGCCACACATTGGTCAGGTGTTGCGGTGGTGTACACTTGT